TAATAATAATAATAATAATAATAATAATAATAATAATAATAATAATAATGGAATATTCATCTGGTCCTCTTGGATAGTTTGAATAATAGTTATCTGAGGTCTGACCTCAGTATTAGTGGCAACTTTTAATGCATATGAATGGATGTGTGTGCTGGGTTACTGTTCCTCTCTTCACTGTCAGCAAAGTAAGAACTGAAAATTTAACTCCACTGTAATAGAGTATCCATAGTCCCTCTGTTGGGCAACAAATTGAGAAAGTTGATACGGTGGTTTCAGTGGAGGAAATTAGCACACTAAGAGGTTATGCATGTGTTATACAATACTAGCCCTGAGGACAGATGAGGTGACCAAAACAGGTTAAAAAACGCAACAGATGCAAGCATAAAGTCTGGGCTGAGTTTTCAAACCCAAGTGGAGTTAGCACAATCACGTTTATTTTGCAATTTTGACGGTACCATGAATTGAATTGACCCCGTTCTGTGTTTCCACTGTCCCCCTAGGAATATCTAAGCACCACACTTGCAGCTCTTCGTTCTAATCACATCCTTGCATTGAAGGTTTGTGAGAAAAAAAGTTTAACTGTGGCCAGTCCTGTTGCAAAAAAAAAAAAAAACCCAGTAAGGATATTGCATACCCTGAGCAATACCAAACATTTGATAACATGTCTGTGGATTATCAGGGAGGTCATACTGGCAAAATGGATATTTAAATCCATGCTTTATACACCTACCCCCAGACTGAGGCTTTCGCTAGAAGGAAAGACAAATGGGGCATTCTCTGCATTGTAATCATGCATGTTCATCTATTTTCCTAGCAATTTCTGATAATACCAGTAGGAATTCCAGGGTCATTGATCTAGAGCAGCTGTTCCCAACCTTTTCCTTTATGGCCTTTACAGCATAACTGGGATCTTTCTAGATCACCATATAAGCCAGCGATGCAGATGGCCATTGCGGGACATCAACATTAAAGTTAACTTATGTTAATTTGGTGTTCTTGCCAGAATTCCTGTGAGATTGTGAGCAAGAATGGCAAAAATCTTATGAGATTCTAAGTGAGAATGCTAAAAATTGGTCAGTTCTGCCAATCTTGTGAGGCTTTGATGTTTTATTCTGATGTCTCCATGAGGGACCATCACCTGCCTCAACCGTCCTGATTTCCCCCAATCTTTTTTATGGTATGAATTCAGCATTTTTGTACAAAATAGATCAGGCTTTCACCACTGCTGTTTTTAAAATTTCATACAAGTGGCTTCTCAAAATTTGCCTTTCCCTCTAGGCTTGCGAAACTGAGTCCCAAACACAAAGTGGGAATGTCGTTAAAGTTACCTTCTCACCAGCAAAATTTTACCTGACATCTTTTGAAAATAACGATACAGATATGCCCATGTACAGATTACAAATACTTCTCCAGGCAGAATCTCTTTTTATGGGAAATGATGTAATCAAACAAAGAACGTGGTATAATGACAGTAAGAAGCTCTCGGTCCAGTTTACATCCTTGAGACTAACAGCATTTCAAGGCCTCACCACTGCCACGTGTGCTTAAATTTAGTGCCTCAACCAGATTACATGTAACACATAATCTTGCAAACTTCAATTTGGTTTATTCACTTCATTTTAAGAACTCTAAGGACCATGGCAATTTTGTTTCTGTGATTCACTGCTGAATCCCACTGTGGCCTTTGGATCTGCTGTTAATTGTGGCCTTCTTAATCCAAAGTTGTGCTTCCAATATATCTCTATTTTAAATCATCTGCCCAGAATAACTGGGTTGCAGGGCTGCAATATTGCGATGACATTTCAGTTTGCAACAAGATTGGAACTTGAACTTGCACTAAAGAGCAAGTGATCTTAAATATGAGTAGAAAAGTATACTCTTTAGTGTGTCTATAGCTGTTGTCATGGGAGGCCTGCAGGCACACCTCTAAGCCACAAAATGATGATTATTGCAGGAATAGACTTGAGCAATGACAAGACTTGATTCTTCTTGCATTTATATTGATGAGAACAGAGTGACTTATTTCCAGTTGTGGAAATAAAGTCACAGTGAGAGTAATCAGTAGAATAGTATAGTAAATAACTTTGGAGCAGTATGGCAGATAGATAGATAGATAGATTCTTTCAACATGGAAGCATATGACTTTTAGATGCCTTTGGATTGCTATACAGATTTAAAAACCATGAAGTAGCTACCCTAGCAGTTCATATCATGTTTAGCAAGAGAAAAACTGAAGACTTAAATAATTCATTTAATTGGGTTATCAAGGGAAAAAGCTTAGTGTGTTATAGGAACATCCCCCCCGCCCCCAAAAAAGAGTCAGTTGGCAAATAATTAACCTGCAGGGGATTAAACTTAACCCCAAACAGACCCAGGTATGCACAGAGTTAAATAATTCCATCCAGTCCGTTATGTTCTATGAACACCTAAACCCAGTCTTTTAACTCATTTGGCCAGCTTAATCCTCCAAACAAATTGCTGGAGAGAAAGAACAGCTGAAAAAGCAAGTCTTTCCATTACCAAACTAATTGCCAGAGCACAGAAGCACCAAACACATCTCTGAAATTTTGGCTACAATGGCCAAAATGCATCAATTGTTTTCTGCCTGGCAAATGGTGAAGGGGTTCATGATGTAATGCAACCTTACCGGCTTCTCCTGGTTGCAAGAGCTCATGAACTCAAGAGACTCTTTCTGGAAGAAGTGGGTGGGGACTCTGAAAAGAATGGGTTTTGATCCAGTCAGGGTGACCGCATGCTGCCAGGACTTCTGGTAACTTTTGACTCATTAGTAGTTGACTGGGTTAATTGTGTTATAGGCAATAGGCCCTATGTGAATTTTTTTAATGCTATTTTGCAGGGATCACTTCCCAAAGTAATCCCTTCTACAGGCTAGAGCTGTATTCTTTGCTGGAAAGGGGTCCTTTGCATTGCCTTGCATTTCCTCCTCAACTGCTAAAAAGAGAGATTCATTCTCACTGATTGAACAAAAACAAGTATATATTTTTTATTTTGACTGAATAGTTGTATTTAAGGGATTGCTATGACTATATGGAGGAGATGGTGCAATCTTCCTGCTTTATTCATGGAAATGATTGAGGGTTGAACCCTTTCCATGTTTTCTGGACTGATTCTGCCTATTTTATTTACATTTTTAAAATCCAGATGAAGCTTGCAATCCCCAGGCTCCTATTGTTTGGATCAATATAATAAGAACACATTGATTACTAAGAAAAAGAGGAATATCTCACCAAAGAAAGCTCCAAAAGTGTTAATAAGGACATCTAATAAGCAAAGAGAAATCCTCTCTGAACTTGGTTGTTTGCTTGCAGACATTTCATTACCCAACTAGGTAACATCATCATGCTGAGTGAGTGTGGGGTTTGCACTCACTCACACTGATGATGTTACCTAGTTGGGTAATGAAACATCTGCACGCAAACAACCAAGCTCGAAGAGCACCAAGAATCCTGAGCTACAGATATTCTCTTCTACAGAGAAGTATATAATAAAAACAGGAAAGTACAAATAACGTGGCTAGACACTTCTAAGCGCAGCAGTGTTCATGTTAGACTGAGAAAGGATTAAGGAATCTATGTTGTACTACAGTGTAACTTGGCTGAATCAACCAGTAAATTCATTTTAAATTTTCCAGATTATATGGCTAGAAATTAGAATGCTCTAAATTGTGAAGAGTAAAGTTGAAATAATTTATAGGTGCTTCAGCCACATTCCTATTGTGGAAGTAAAAAGGAAAAGAGACCGGCTCAGAGGCTTGCCATGAGGTGCCCAATGACAATGCTTTTTCCATTACCCTTCTTTCATATTTATGAACTCAAACTTGCTTTTATTCCCCCCTCTCATTATTTCACTTTTTCCCCTGTTTCCATTTTCTTCCCTGGCTGCTCTGTTTGACTTTCGATGCCCTACTGACATCTTTTGCCTTGTGACTTTTGGCCCTTCCCTGTGACCTTCTGGTTCGGTCTTCAGCTGTTGCCTCTTCTCAATTCAGTGCGACTGGCTCCACCCCCAGTCATAAAGAGACGCACCTTCCAGGTATCCTTCTCCTTCTCCTCCTTCTCCTGGTCTTTTCATTTCTGAAATGGGCAATTAATCAGCTTCCCATCTTCCCTAGGAGAGGGTTTCCTTAAAACTAGAAGCAGCAAAGGTTTCTCTGGAGCCTCAGCCACCTCCCCCACTTGACGGGCTTGGCAGCTCGGGTTTGAATGCATTTGCATGCTTAGTTTAGCAGCTAAGCATGAGCACCTTTTGTGGTTACTTGTCTTGAAGACATTGTCAGATCATACAAGGTTCTAGAAGAAAGAATATTACAGAGGAAGAATATAATGAGTTTGAAAAAAGGGTTTAATTTGATTTTATTGGACACTGGTCTCTTGCACAATATGACCTACCAAGCAAATATAGATCACTAGCCACAATTCTAAACAGCTAACCAAAGTATATACAATCAGCTTTTAAATCAACATTTTGCAGATGTGGTAAAGTGGGAAGAACACAACCACATACTTGGAGACACATGTACATAGTCTTTCTGGTGATTGTCCAATAGATGTTTAGAGCCATGTGTCCCATTAAGTATTCATATGACTATAAAACAAGTGCCCTTGCATTCAAGGAAGGCTTGGTCCTGATTAAGTGGGAACAAAATTGCAGCCTTAAACTGTTCATTGTGGGAAGTGTTGCTCTAATATTTCATGCTTGACCGCATCTGCTGGAACATCACTGACTTCTGAGACAATTATATGAATAGCAGAATTGGGACTTGCAGAGATTTCGTCAGTGGACATTTAACAAGTACCATCTCAGCTGCCAGCAACAGCATCCTTCACTGGATAGAAGCCTACATAGAGTTGCGTTCATCATCCTCATCTTGGGAAATAGCATTATATGAGTTTCGGAAGATGAGGGCAGATGGTTCATCTCAGCTAGAGTGAGATGCCAATTCATGTAAAGCCTCTTGTTCTAGTGACATTATGATGGGCTTCTGAATACTGTTGGTCAGGAATGGCCCTCCAGGATCCATCTGGAATCTCATTAGATGGAGGGAGTAAGTCAGAGACCAAACACCACCCTTACCAGATGTCACATGCTATTTTTAGCCATTAATTGGAGCTATATTAAAATTTGTTTTGCTTCCTTGTATGTGAATTTAATGTGCTGCTAGATTTCACTGAAGGTAATCTATCACCATGTTGGCGTGGCATACAATGATCAAAAGATGGAATTCAAAGGAATTGAGTAGGAGTACAGCTATTTAATCTTCCATGTAGATTTTGCCACTAGGGTGCTTCAAATGCATACCTGCAAAAGAATTATTCTCCTCCTCCTCTTTTCTTCACTTTTGATCCTCTGGAAGGATCCTTTCCACTTCAGAGAGGACAATCTACATGACATGAATTTTAGCATATGATACAGCAAAAACCCAAGTAAAATTACAACAGTTTATTGGATGGTGTGTAATATTTGCACTTACTTTTCCATCCTAAGGTCTAACTACCTTAGAAAATGCAGGAATCCACCAAAAGCCAATCCAGAGTTACTCTTTGCCTGAGTTTTGGAAACCCCCTTCAGAGACTTTCTAACAAGAACTTGCTTGGCTCTACCTCTGTTCCTTTGCTCGGGCTGTGTTTGCTCCCATGTTATTTTGCTGCATTTATGGTAATATTATTCTCAACAAACCTCAGGGTGAACAAGGACAGGCAGGCATCCAAGGGCCTCCAGGGCTACCTGGGCCCCCAGGCGCTCCAGGAACTCCAGGACCACCTGGCCCAGCTGGCCCAGCTGTAAGTTTCTTTTGAGTCTGTCTGGATCTCCCCCTCCCCAAGAACCTCTGAATTACCTTTTACCTCTATGGCTCTTCAGTTTCTGGGGTTGCATCAAAGCCCTTGATATCTTCTGCCATGAGATGACTACACAAGATTGCCCATTTTCTTACTCCCATCTGTGAAAAGTGCCAGAGTGAGGAAATCACTCTTTGATTTGAACTCATTTCACTCCCAGGCCAAGTTTAAGAAACTCTTCAAATCTCTTTGATGGTCTGCTCAGAGTTTCAGGGTCTGGGTGGAACTTCTGTTTTCAAAAAGGACCACATTGTGGTATCTCAGAAAGGCTTGTTTCTTTGTTCCCATAGGGGAAAACAGGAGAACCTGGCAAGGATGGAAAGGTATCCATTTAATCATTTTTCTCATGCCACTTGCCTTTGCTTGCATGAAAATTATTCTTTTCTCAGAGCCTGAGAAGAACAATATGCAATGCATGTTGAATTCCAGGGGGTTGCATGGATTAATAGATGAATCAACTGCAAAGTTTGTCCATCAGGCAAAAGTCATATTTTTCCTAGGATGAAGTTTTGGGACTCATTTCAGTCTCTTGGTTATGTTGCATAACTGAGGGTTGAACTGGCAGTGAATGGAAGGAGATTCAGCCATTCCTTGCAAGATCAAAGATTTTTAATTAACTTTGCTTTAATTATGAAATAAAATCCCATTAGACGATTCCATAAGATTATGATCATGATCATGAAATATGATAATAGACAATTGTCTAGGAGATGTGAATAATTTGTGTGCTTTTTCAGAGAAGATTGTTATAAAAAGATTCCATGACTATATTTCTTTATTTAGCTTTTAGGTAGAACTGAATTCCTGTCCTATACATCTGGAATTCAGCAAAATGGTAGTCACATCTCAGTGGTAGGCATCATGCTGAAGATCCCAGGTTCATTCCCTAGGATTTCCAGGTAGGATTGGAAAAACTGCCTGAATTGTGCAGTCTCTGCCAGTCAGTGTCAGCCATACTGGACTAATTAACCAGGGCTTTGACGCAGCCTGAGACAATTTTCTTGTCTTCCATGTTCTAATCTGAAAAGTGTGGGCAGGAAAATGAGAAATCCCACAGTATGGATGCATGATTACAAAAGATATAGTGATTGCTGAACAATGTAGATTCAAATGCATCTTTGAGATCTGACCAGAGTAGACTGAAATGCATCCCTCTATTGAAAACCATTTCATTAAACTTCATCCAAGTAATGCAAACAATGCTGATGAGCAAGTAGAACTAAATGAAGTACAGATCTTATCGCAGAGCTAAGGCGCTTTGCACATTTTCACTGCTTCATGATCTCATGTGCCTCTATCTTCAGGGTTTGCCAGGACCCCCTGGGCCAAAGGTGAGTAAAGTATCTTGAAATAAATATCTTAGAACTGCCTTTTGAAATGTCAGTGCTTCATGCATGAACACTGCAATAGCCAGAATGTGGCTAGAAATCCAATTGCCAAGATGAGGTCAGTTGTTCTAACTGTAAGGTGCTTCTCAGCTGGGCAAGGAAAATTTTTGCAATGAAGAAAAAGTAACCAGCCATACGAACTTCAGTTGAAAACAAAGGCATACATTCTGGAAGACAGGTACCATTGACCCCATTTCTGGGGTCTCCCGAATGTGTTGGACTTCAATTTTCCTAATTCCCAAATTACATGGTCTCAGAAACTGGGATGTTGATTATTTATGCACTGTAACCACATCACCTTCTCTATGGTAATGTATTGAATTGCGTGAAATGAGTTGACCTAAGGCCCATTTTGAAAAACAGAACTGACTTTCAATATTCAAAAGTGTGGAGAGAAGTTTAATAAGACATAATCAGGTAGTGTGCCTGGACCATTACTTACATGGAACTCCATTGTTAGGACACAGAGAAATTGGCAATCAAAATCTGAGTATTTTGTTTGTTTGTCTGTTTTTTTCCATACACTTGTCCTTCTGCTATATGGCATTGCCTTTTCCTTCTTCTAAGGACAATTCTTCTCAGCAGCCAAATTCATGTGGATCCTAAATGGTAAAATGGCCTGATACCATAGTTAAATCTTTTACTGAGTTATGAGTGCTCTCCAGTTGTGGAATTTTCAGCTCATTCAATGTCTTCTTCAGAATCTTGATTTGTGTTCATTTCCCAAAATAAATTTTGGTTTGGTTTGAGTCTTCATGTAGTTTAATTCACTCTCTCCTTTTTTCTTGTCACTTTAATTTATAGGGTGATCCTGGACTTCAAGGATACCATGGAAGGAAGGTATGAACAATATATTTGAGAAACATTGAATTAAAAAGTAAAGACAGCCACATTTTAAATTCATTAAAGTGGACCAGAGCCATCTGGGAATGTGATACACCATCCTTCATCTTATGCATAGATACCCAAGCATGATCCTAGCCATAGCATTTCCCTCATTTCTTACTTTCAGCATCTTTGGCTGAGAGTGCCAGTGTCTAGGACTGTAGTAATTGTGACATCCTCTTGAGCCCTTAAATGCTTTATTAATGGGTAAAAGCTGTTGTAAGAGTGTGGTCCTGAAGATTTCTCCAGTGCTATGTTTTCTTAGCAGTTTAAGATTGTTTTTGCTTGGAAAGCTGACTAGATTCTGATCCAGCCATAAGAACACCTGAATCAGAAGTTCATTTGGTTACGTTAAACTTTTCCCATCCTCACAAGTTTGCATATCAGAGAGGGAGATTACCAGAGAAAAATGCCAGAGAAGTGAGAGCACTTGTGAATAAACAAGCCCCACGCTTCTTCTGAGATAATGTAGCTCCATAAAGACTGATTATACATTCCATTAAAAGCATTTGCATCAGCAGTAAGTTAGGAAGTTCTTTTACCTGGTTAATTCTTCTCAATACTTCCATCAGTATTGATAAGTGTTTATTCTCCTGCTCCAATTTTATTTGATTTTCAACTTTTATTATGCTGTAAGTTCAACTGAATTTCACAGATAGATTATGGCAGGATTTCATGCTAAGATCATGTTGTAATAATTCTGAGATCCAGCTATAAAATCTACTGTTTTGGCTTATAGGGCTAAGTTCTTAAATTTTATGATGGATGATGTTTTAAGGGGGAAGAAATTAATTACAGTAATGGCACAGAACTGTGTCATTATGGTAGTGGTGAAAAATAGTCTACACCATATTGCTGTTCTAGACTTATATTTAATCTTGAGAGTGTTTACTATTGTTATTGAGATTACTTCTATTGAATTACAGCCCTGTTGTTGCTACTTTACACATATAAATATGAGGTTCATACAACAGGACTGCACGTTTTGGGCTGCAAACATCTGCATGACCACTGGAGATATGGAAAACTCTAGGGGTCACCTAGATTTTGGTAGCCTGTATATGGTAGCCCCTAATACTATTCAAATACATATGCATGAGAGAGAGGCTGAATTGAAGCCCCTTGATATGTACTTCCAATGGATCTAGGGATGATTCAGGAACTTGAATCTCTTTTAGAGAAATGAGGATTGACATGAAGTGTGCACTCAACAGGAACTATACCCAACAGTGCTTTTCTGAGATTTTATCTGCTGAGAATATCTTTGCAGATATATTCGTCAAATCATGCTACTAGGCACAGCAGGGTGAGAGGTAGCTGTCAGCCCCACTAGGTAGACCAGATCAGGAAATCAGTTCCACAGGAAGGCTAAAACTGCTTTTGTTGAGATGGGCTATAATAACTGAAGGACAGAATCTTGCAAGTCTGACTGCGCTGCACTTCCTCCTCCTCCTTATATTCCAGTGAAATAGGGAGGGGTCTGTCTGAGCTGCTTCCAAATATTAACTCATTTCACAGGACTTAAAAAAAAATGTTTCAGTCCCTTTTGCCTAGATAACAATTCTTATTTCCATCAAAGTCATCTTTCTTACTCCCTACAGTAGCTCTGAGAATCAGTCCAAATAATAAATCTGTTTTAAGCATCTAAAAAATAATACGTTCATTCAATCCCTGCTCATTGAAAGCTTTGCAAAGTAGGAACTCCAAGAGAGAGGCATTCACTTTTCAACAGAAGAGAATCTCTGTAGCTCAAGGTTAAACTATGGAGTCCTTGGTGCTTTCTGAGCTTGGGCGTCTGCTTGCAGATGCTTCATTGCCCAACTAGGTAACATCATCATACCTAGTTGGGTAATGAAATGTCTGCAAGCAGACACCCAAGCTCAGAGAGCACCAAGGACTCCACATTCACTTTTGCTTCAATGGTCCTGGCAAAGAAGAATCTCCCAATGCAGACTTCCAGGAAGTTTCTCCGAATGTTGATATTTTGATTGTATAAAACTGCCCTAGCATTTTATGGTGATATAATGATCTCAGGCTATCAGAGATAGATCGACTCAATCTTATGTAAATGAGGAAGACAAGGGTGGAAAAAAAGATAAACTCTTTTCAGGCAGTGGAAGGATAGAATGCTAATAAAAGAGAGCAATTCAAAAGATAATTTTATAAACAGAAATTAATACTTTTAGCAGTCTGTGGTTATGCACATTGTGTAACAGTTTGCATACATTATTTGGCTAAAATAGTAAGACTTGGCACAGTCTTACTTATCTTGAAATCTGCATAAATCAAGGAGCTTGCCTTCTGTGGAGAAGTGAAAATCATAGTCTCTGTGGCCCAAATCCATCTGTTCACATCTGTGTGCACAATTTATGGACTCTTTTCCAATGAAAATGATGTTTTCTTCATTAGCTGCCTATGCAATACTTAGTAGCTTCACAGCTCTCTGAAGGGTTGAGCGAGTCACTGATCTGCGGTTGTGTGGGTGTGCACCAGTGAAAGAGCTGTTTTCTTATATGAAGGGATTCATAGGTCTGAATTTTTAATCAGTGGAAGAAAAGATTTTTTTTGTCTTATAAGAAGGAACTCCTAGGATGCCTTGCTTATTTTATTACTTATTAGATTTATATCCCACTTTTCATTCAGAATCTCAAGGCAACAGACAGTTCCTTCTCCCCTTTTTCCCCCACAACAACATTTTTTGCCATTACCTACATTGGCTCTCTATTGCTGAGAGAATGGTTAGAAGGCTGGAGTAGATGCCTCACAGAGGTAGAAGTTCTTTCAAAACAGGGAAAGGCACTTCAGGAATGACAAACTTCCCAATGTCAAGTACAAAAATCTCTTTTCTAGCACTCTATTATATGCATCATTCCGAAACCAGACCTGAGGCACAAGGTAGCTTTTGCTGTAAAGGGATTTTAGAACAAACATATAAAACCTTCCCAACCAAGACCATTTCCTCCTTTTTGGGTTTTGCATTAACATGGTCACACAAAGTGGGAATGAAGAACATACAGTTTAAAGCTTCCTGTGCATGGAAACAATGCAACCTGAAGATTCAGATTGTAAGACTGACAAGCATGCATTGCTTTGAAAAGGAAGAAGCCATACCAGTTTTGTGATTGAGAGGGTGCCTCGATGTTGCTTTCCTAAGCTTTGTTGAGTTCTTCTTCATTCTCCAATCCCCTAAAAACTTAGGTGTACTTTCCCAGGCAGTGAGAATCCCCCACCACATGTTTCATAATGTTTTCTTTCCTTATCCCAAAGATTGCATTTTGTAAGGGTTCTCTCTGTATATCTATTACTATTACTATTACTATTACTATTACTATTACTATTACTATTACTATTACTATTACTATTCTGTTCCTTGCATCTTTTCTTTAGGGTGAAGCGGGTGAGACAGGCCTCCCAGGTGCACCTGGACTTCCTGGACCTGCTGGCCCTAAGGTAATTATCACATTGCACTAACAAGTGTTAGAACTGATCAGAGTATTATTTTGGCATGTCAGATAGAATGGTCCCATGATGATGTCATGGATTGCAAGGAAAGAAAGGAGTCCAGGTGATGATAGGTGCTGCCAGTATAAGAAGCAGGCCTGTATGGATAGAATATCTCCATGCCAGGTGGAATCTCTGCCCATCCAGATCACTCCTTGCCCACGGACACTCTAGGCCTTTAGGCCAAGATGTGCTTGGGATTGTTTTACAACCTGGCTGCACGTGTAGTTGGCAGGATGTATAACCAAGGCATATGTCAATCTTTGAAGGAGGGGTATTTATATTAACCCTTCAGTGAACAACCCTGTATATATGCAGATCTTTGGTGTTAAAAATGGCCATAGAAAGGACTTTTTAGCTGATAATATTGTCCCTAGATACATTACATATGTAATAGCAAAACTGTTTCTTCATTTACATCTGCAAAAATGCCACTACTTTCTGATGCTTCATATGGGATGAATCAGTTGGTTCTTTATGTCTCTTTTGTATAAATTCAATCATCACTGTTCTGTCCAATATCTACACTAGCCTGTGATTTTTTTATATGCTCAAAAAACAAATTCCTTTTTGTAAACTGAGTTCCCTAAAATATAATTTTTAATATTTGTCCTTGAATGCAAATGAGACAAAAGGCATTCCAAAATATAGAGAAAAGGAATAATTGGAATCAATCCCCATCTTAGACAAATAAATGTAAATTGCTTCAGATTGTTTAAGAAATGTGGACCAAGTGAAACTTGCCCCTTCTTCATTTCATATACTACTATTATAATTTCTGTAAAGTAGGGCTGTGGATGCTCCAAAATTGATTTGGAAGTACTTTTGATCTCATGATATTCATCAGAGCAGCCTGACTTTTTCAGCTTTCATGTGAGCCTGAAATAGAAGATGCTTCTTGTTGCTTTTATTTAGATGTGTTAGGGTTAGTCCCACCTTTCATATAGGAGCTCAAGGCAACATACATGGCGCTTCCTCCTCCTTCCCCTCCACCCCCACCTCCAAAAGTAACCATGTGTAGCATGTGAGACTGAGAGAAAGTGCATCTGGCCCTGGGAGCATTTGTGGCTGAGCGGGACTGGAACCCGAGTCTTCCTGACACCAAACAGCACTTTAACCAAGATACCACACTAGTTAATTGCCACATTAGTTTCAAGAGGCAGCAAATGAGCCAGTTCCTTAGCGTGTGTCTGGATAGCTCCATCAACACTTCCATTTTTTAAAAAATGTCTGTTCCCAACCTTTCAAGAACAAAACTCTTTCACTTTCCATCCATTGGCCATGGCAGCTCAGTGTGTCTGGTTTCCTCTTATTTCCTCTTGCATTTCTCTATCAGTGTTTTTGAATGTGCTTTCTTTCCCTTGCACAGGGTGAAAAGGGAGACAGTAGCCTGAAGGTAGGCATGGAAATACTTTTGGATCAATTTGACACAGGAAATTTTGTTACTGAAAATAATGCATTGTTATATAAACCACAGCCCAAGACAGACATGCAGCTTATTTAATGGCATATACATCTGTCTTGTGTTGTAATGGGATTAACCACAAGCAGACGTTCCACGTCTTGCTTCCACCATGCCCAGAGACGTACTCAGTGAAATCCACCTTGAAGGGTTCCTTGGAATTTGACTCTTAGCAAATCCCCTCCTTTGACCACTCCAACTGGCTGATGATTTCCTGCACTTTGGGGGTTGGATTGAGGTTTTTTTCAAAAAGTCTGGCTAGCTGACACACATCAGATCTATTTGAGGTCAACAGGTCCTGACGTTGAGGTTTGGCATGATCCTTTCTCTTCTTTTGCTGCTTAGGACTCTTTGGAAAAGCTAGCATGATTTCATGCCCATATGTTATTTATTCGACTGAAATGTATATTGAACCCATACAATTTAAATATATTACTGTCTTTTTAAAAAAAGCATCTTACAACTTTGGCCAACATCCACAAAAGGTAAAGCAAATTGCCTGGCCAGAGTTAAAATGCCTGGTTCTCATATATCACAAATGCAAATGTGTGTATTTTGATCTAAAAATGGATATGGATGCTTTTTGTTTTTCTTCCCTGCTCCCATCAGGATCTGCTTAGACCAACATTAGTCATATGATACATGTATTGCAGTAAAAGTCAACAATAATTGATCCAACACAGCCTCCCTTGATTTATATACCTTCATTTTCACGAGCAATCAAAACATGTATACTCAGTTACCAATACAGTCTTCTCCAAGCTGATGCCCTCCAGGTGTGCTAGACAATAAATCCCATAATCCTTACCAGCACTACTGGGAGCTGTAGTTTAACATTTTGCCAGGCCACAACATTTGAGAAGGCAATATTAGTAGGGAAGAAAACCTGCAATGTCATGTATGCAACATTCAAAGCAACTTAATAGAAGATTTGAATTTACACTTCAGTTAGATTCTAAACTTGTCTAATCAATGTTTACTAAGGAATGAAAGGTTGCGTAACTGCCTTCATTCTAAAACTGGAGTATGAACATACAGATTTGCAAAGGAAATATGGTAGGCAGTCGGACTGTACAAAGATTTCAAGGAGTGTTTTGCTCTGAGTGAAGCACCTCATGAAACAATGCAGCACATGCCTTCTAAAGAACAAAGGAAAACGGTCCCATAGCTTCTTTCACATCACCTCAGGGGTGCCTTCTGTCACTTTCAGCAGCTGGAATAAGTTTCTGCACCTGTGCAGAAGCCCCTCTCAGTTTGGGAGTGCCAGAAGAGGCCCCCAAAGGAATGTAAAGCCCTTCCATGACGCAAATTGCATTACTTCTGCAGCTCGGTGAGGCACATAGCACAGCCTGAACAGCATGAACTTCATGAAGACCTAGTTGTGTGGACAGGGATGCTAAATTTCCCCTGTGACTTCTTTAGGAAACATCTGTCCCCCAGTCAGAGTCCCAGGCATGTTTGCAGTCTTGTGGTAAAAAGAGCTGTGATGGAGGGAGAGGCTATAGCAGATAGCAGTGGTACCCGAATGCTTAAGGACCATCCACACACTGCCACTGCTGATTGGCAATGGAAAGGGATTGTGCCCCAGACTCTGTTTTTCCCAGTCAAGTAGAATATTACATCAGACTTCCACCTAAGACAATAGCTACTGAACTGAAGATAGGTAACTCTTAAAAAATAACAAATGGAGTTCAGTAGTCCTCCATTTATCTGAAATCTTGTGTATTATACTGTTGATGAAGAGTTAATGCAAGGTACCAGTGGGCATCAAGAAGCTGAAGAGAAGTTTGTGAGCATCTTCAGAGATTCTGACCCACAATAGATGGTGAAAGACTGAATATATGGCCTTGGAATGGTGTGTTGGTGCTGCAGTGGTTTATGTAAGGAATGTTACCCAAAGAAAAAGAGAAAGTACTACACATATAATAATTTTCAGATTTTTAAAAACATAATGTATTGTTTTAATTTGCAAACTAAGTATGTGACTTCTCAAGGGACAGCTAGATGCTGCCACCTGCTGTCCTAATTCCATTCTTTAATAGGTTTTCCTTGGCCCCTCATTTTTATGAGAATGATATGGCTGATTGTGTCACAGTGTCTACTTGGCCGCAAAGATCACAGACAGTGATTATGCAGAGATGGATTCCTTGTCTTCTTTCTCTCAAACTCTCTTCTACTAATTATTTCTTACACGATCCTTCTCCTTAAAATTGGATAGTACTGACTGTCACTGATTGATGGGAATCAGTTCTTCTGTCCAGAACTTTGCTTGAATGTTTTGTGACTGTTCTTTCTGCTGATTGGGGGTTGCTTCAGGGGTGGAACATTACCCTACCAAACTAACATTTGATGGTATGATTTGAGGTCCTTTTCAATATTTCCAAATACCACCCACGTTAACAGCTGTTTGATGTGGTCCCAGGACTATTCACACATTCTTGGATGGATGGATGGATGGAAGGAAGGAAGGAAGGAAGGAAGGAAGGAAGGAAGGAAGGAAGG